CTTCATTTTGAGAGCTTCTAGGAACGGCCGGATTGTCGAACTTGGCGTCCCCCCATTTTGTCATCTCGAGACATGTCTTCGTTGCACAACGACCGTGAAAATAATAGTCTCTCGGTGATTTCTTACCTCATAATCACTCTCCCCTTCATCTTTATGATTTTAGAGCAAATTATGTAACCGTCCCTTCAGCTATTTGGAGAGATGCACGTACTTCAGAAAGATAACATCAAAAGAGCACGGACGATGGTCCGACAATTCATTGATACATGGGCATGGTCACATGTAATGAGTAAATGGGAAATACTTGGGTGTTTCAGAAATAAATAATCAGTGAATCTTTGGAAATCAATGAGAAAGGAACGCATCTTAAGCTTGGGTATTTGTAGAGATGGAAGAGGATGAGTTGCATGCCCTAACTGGGTCCCAAATGGGCTATTCGCGACACTAAAGTTTTAGGGTTAATATCATGAAAAATCCCAAACTGGTACACATGTGATAAATTTACCTAAAACTAATTTTTTGAGCACAAAAAACCTTAAACCGGTACACCAGTGACAAATTTACCCGCTGTTAGTTTCCGTTAAATTTTACCGTTGAATTACTAAGTTAAATGACATGCAGCAGTTGACTAATACATCAATTTAGGGTTTTATCCTCCTTTTATCAAATGTGTACTAGTTTGTGATTTTTTGTGGTATTAATTCAATTTAACGGAAACTTACAGAGGGTAAATTTGTCACAAATATATTAGTTTGAGTTTTTTGGGGAAATTTGTCACATATGTATCGGTTTGAGGTTTTTGATGGTCAATAAATTAGTTTGGGGTAAATTTATCACAAATATATCGGTTTGGAGTTTTTTGTAGTATTAATCCAAAGTTTTATAAAAAATTATGATATCTATGTAATTTTATTATTACAGACTCTTCTGCAAGACTCTCTAAATCGTTGCCTTGTGTATTCATGAGATTTGAGGATAACATCTCTATCTTTCGAGAGAGAAATAATGACACAAACAGTCCCTAAAATTTGGCATAATGTGTAATGTGGTCCCGAATTTTTAATTTGTTCAATGTATCCCTAAATTTTAGCCAAATGTTCAATGTAATCTCTGAACTTTTAATTTGTTCAATATGGTCCCTAGACTTTTGATACATGTTCAATGTAGTCCATGAATTATACAAAAATGTTCAATATAGTCTCTGAACTTGAATTAATGAAACTATACTGAACATTTTAATATAGTTTAGGAACTAAATTAAACATGTACCAAAAGTTCATGAACAATATTGAACAAATTGAAAGTTCAGAGATCACATTGCACATTAGGTTAAAGTTTAAGGATCATATTGAACAAATTAAAAATTTAGAGACTACATTGCACATCGAGTTAAAGTTCAGGAATTATTTGTGTTATTTTCCATTCGAGACACTACTAATCTTTACTTTTGATCAGTTTTAGGAGGATGTTAGTCATGTATAGTAATTTTTTGTTTGCATTAATTCCTTTATTTACTATATAAATTATTCACAAGTTCTATGCAAAATGTATATTCTTTCAGTGGACCACACATTTGCGATATATTGAATCAACAACTTTAACTAGCAAATTAATACCGCTATAAGAGAAAAATGTAACTTTCAAATCATTCAACATTTTTCTACTATTTTTACATGTAATTTAACTTGACCCATGCATTACGTTGATATAGTGTCCGTAAGTTCTTCAAGTGCCTTTCTCTTTTCGTTTTTGCTCATAAAAAGGGAAGTCGAAGATAATTTCACATGCCAGTATGTCAAATTCAACCTCTATCACTTTGTTTGGGGAAAACCGGGCAACAATTCACCAAGAACTAACCCAATCCATAATCAATTTCTTCCTCAAAACTAAACCAACCAACATCGACTTAACCCCAGCAACAAACAGCAATAGAACCTCAAAATAAGTAATGGAAAACCCAATGCGGTAAAAATCACGGATTGTCCAAAAACTTCCACTAATAACGAAAAATAGTATGCTACACAAGTGTTCCTCTCTAGTTACACGCTAGAGGCGCAACATCAACAATACAACAGTATTTCATTACCATGAAGGTGGATTAACACAAATGAAGCAAGAACTCTAGCCGAGATTGGAGAAAACGCGAGACGACTTGGAGATGGTTCTCAACGAACAAAACTGATCAACTCGTAATCTTTCAGTCTCACGAACATACTTAAATTTAAGCCAATTCTGACAATGTTTGGCCGTCAAATATTGCCGAAAGCCGTTGCCCTCTTTTTCCTCTCTTCTCCATGCACTTTCTCGATGAATACACTCTCTCTCTTGGTCTTTTCTCTCTCCTCTTGGGCACACGGTAAATAGCCCACTCTTTTTTACTTTTGACTCTTCCGTCTTCTTTTTTAATTTTAATGCTAACTGGGCCCTACGGAGGCGGACTCAGTCAACTAGAGATGAGTGATTCCAAGTTCCTTACAGGTTCCACGTAGAACCTGGAACCTACCATCAGAGACAGCTTCCTCATTTTTTGGAATCTGGAACCTACCCATTGGAACCTAGAACCTACTCTGTCACAGGTTCTAAGATCTAACATGTTCTTTTATTTATTTATTTCATTTTTAGTTAAACAAAACGAAAATGAATGCAACAATACTGAACAAGCTTGTCATTCACAAAAGAGAATACAAAATACTAGTTTTCATGGCATTACGGTTCAATTAAATACAATTAAAATGAGAAGTCATTGCATAAATCGATACTAGAGATGAGTGGTTCCATATTCCGTACAAGTTCCACCTGGAATCTACCCATGAGAATAGATTCCTCATTTTTTGCAATCTAGAATTTACCCTATCACAGGTTTTAGGTCGGTTCTAAGGTCTATCTAGGTTCCACCTGTATTATTAATTGAACAATTACAATGAATCATCACCTTTAATGGGGAAATTGTCCAAAAAGTCATAAACCTATTGCACTTTTGTCAATTCAGTCCTAAACCATTTAAGTTTGTCAATTGAGTCCTAAACCTTTTCACTTCTTGCCAATTGAGTCCATCCGGCTAATTTTGGCAGTCCGAAGCTGACGTGGACGCCGTCTGGCCAACGTTGACGTGGTAATTTTAAAATTTTTTTTGACTTTTTTTTTATTTTTTAAATATTTTTTTCCTTTTTTTTTTCTGGCTTTCTTCTGTCTGGCTGGTTTGGCAGCCGGAGAGATTGACCTTGTCGGCCTTTGGCGAAGCTCGCCCCCGCCGGCCACTGGTGAGAGCGAGCCTCGCCGGCCCCTAATTGGGCGAGGTCGAACCTCACCCAACCTCGCCATCCCAACCCAGGCGACGACGAGGTTGAGCCTTGCCCAACCAAGGCGAGGCTTGACCTCGCCGTCGCCTGGGTCACAACGGCGAGGTCGACCTTGCTAGATCTGGGCGAGGTCGAGCCTCTCCCAGCCAAGGCGAGGCCGACCTCGCCGTCGCAACCCAGGCAAGGGAGACCCAGGCAATGGCGAGGTCAGCCTCGCCCAGCCAAGGCGAGGCCCACCTTGCCGTCGCAACCCAGGCAAGGGAGACCTAGGCGACGGCGAGCCAAGGCCGACCTCGCCGTTGCCTTGGTCGTGACGGCGAGGTTGGCCTCGCCGTTGCTGGGTGAGGCTCGACCTCGCCCAGCCAGGGGTCGGCGAGATCAAGCCGGCCTCTGGCTGGTCGTCGAAAGAAGGCCAGAAAAAAAGAAAAGAAAAGGAAAAAAATTAAAAATTTCGAAAAAAATATTAAAAAATATTAAATTTTGCCACATCAGCGGTGCCCAAACGGCCGGCGCCGGCTGGCGTCCACGTCAGCTCCGGGCAGCCAAAATTGGCCGAATGGACTCAATTGACAAGAAGTGAAAAAGTTTAGGACTCAATTGGCAAACTTGAAAGATTTAGGACTAAATTGGCAAAAGTGCAATAGGTTTAGGACTTTTTGAACAATTTTCCCTCTTTGATGACCACCACTTGCTGCTATAATCCACTAACCACAACTTATATTTAGACACACGAAGAATACGAAACATTAACAAGTTATAAAATGAAAGCTCGTACTAGCGGTTCTAGATTATACACTCATCATCGAACGCCATGAAACACCACATGATTACGCGAAGACATAGACCAAGAAAAAGCACAAAAAACTTGTTTAGGCTTCAGGTTCCAGTTTCCAAGTTCCAGGTTCTTTTTACCTAGAACCTGGAACCTACCAATCGAAACAGGTTCCCTGATTTTTGGAATCTGGAACCTACCCTATATATCTTGGAACCTGGAACCTATAGGTTCTCACTGGTCAGGTTTTCAAGTTCCAAGGTAGAACTTGGAACCATGCTCACCCCTACGGCCAACATACCACCTCACATAATATAATTGTTCTCTAAGTAAATTAATACTGTAACTTGCAAATCACATGACATTTTTCTTTTACTTTTACAAGTAACTTAAACTTGACCCGTGCATCATGCGGATACAGGGTCTTCAAGTTCTTCGAGTGCCTTTTCTCCTTTTCGTTTTCGCTTGCAAAAAAGGGATGTTAAATATAATTTTACATAAGAGTCCGTCGAATTCAACCTTCATCACTTCATATAAAGTTAATCGTTCGCATTCTGACAAGCCAAGATCTCAGATTCGAAAAGAACGATGGAAGAGTACATGAACGCCAATCACATGCTTCGAGTTCACTCCAATTGGCCCTCACACAAATTAGAAAACCAGCAAAAAAAAAAAGCAAAAGAAGACGACAAACCCTATAATAGAAGATCAATCCCACACGTTTCGATTTCTATGGCTGCGCGGTCGGAAGTCTAATGCCCACCAGAAGTTCTGCAGTCACTTGTAGTTCCTCGGCCTCGACTGTCAGGTGCGCACGTGACTCGACCGCGGCTCGCATGGTCGTCTCTCTTCCCTTATAAAAGCGCGAGCGCGAGCCCATATCGATCCCGCCCGATCAACACGTAAGAAAAAAGACTCTGTGTGTTGACGAATCGCATGAAGATGGCGATATTGTCTTTCTCCACCACCATTTCTCTTCACGCCACGATTCTCTTTCTTCTTGCAAACGTCCTTCACGTGGCCCGAGCCAGTGTGCATTACCATGACTTCGTAGTAAGTGCTTTTGTTCATCAATCGCGTGGTGTAACGTGCTCTTTTGTGCGAAGTTTTGCGTCGACGATCATAAAACCGATGCATGCAGGAGTGTTTTCTAGTTGCTTGTGGATTTGTTGGCAGTGTTCCTGCAAGTAACCAATTTTGACGAGCGATATTTAATGAAATGGGTGACGTCGACTGGTATGCTACGTCGTTGTGTCTCGGTAAAAAAAGAAGGCGGCAAATATTAGTATCTGTGTGACTACCTTCTGTAGATGATGATAGGTCATCTTTCATTACTAATTGTTCAACATATTCTATGGACTTCTTGAAGACTACGCATGCATGCACCGGGTCTGTTTTATTTCAGGACAAATGTATCGTTTTCGTCGGTTTCTCGACTGAAGTCATCGTGCTCTTTCTTTTTTCATTTACTTTTTTATCTCATTATTTCTGGTTTTCAATTATTTTCTTTTTCCTGCAGCTGAGGGAAACCAACATTACGAGGAATTGCACTACCATGTCCCTTTTGACAGTTAATGACAGTTTTCCAGGGCCGGTGATTCGGGTACGCAAAGGTGACCTCGTTTTCGTGAATGTCCATAATCAAGGAGACTACGGTGTCACACTTCATTGGTAATTTCATTTTGTCGAACATCTTGCCATCTCTTTACTCTCTGTGTTCGTCTGACATGCGCTTGTCACTCATACTTTATGGTTTTAGGTTGAATATTTTCTTCTTTTCTTGTTTCACTGAGATGACAACATGAATGAGAAAACAACAACAAACGGCAATTGGAACAAGATCGTTGTTTGTGGAATTTGGTCCGGTGCATATTGATTACATGAATATTCTGGGAAGGGGAGAATGAAAAACTGTACTACACATATTAATCTGGCAAGAGTAATCAAGAATAAAGAACAGTTTAGTAATCCAACTGTGGTCGTCGGGATCTTGGTCCATTCAAGGGGCTCAATCCGTCGACAACGTTCAATCAGTTAAATGCTTCACTTGATTGTAAGTCCCGACTGAGGTCGGCATCTAGAGTATCTTTTTCTGCTTTGGGTTTAGGGTTGAGTCTTTCAAATCTGTTCATTGAAATAATATAAATGTGAAAGCGGAAGCGAACCAGGGAAAAAAAAAAAGAAATATCTGAGAAGATAGATTGAGCCAATGAGAATCCAATTCTTTTTTCCTCTTGTTGAAAATCTAAACCGATAAGTCATAATAAGAACTATTAAAAACGCATAAAGAAGAAAGTAAGGCATAATTCGAAAAGTCAATACGATCGTAATCCCATAAACTAAGAGTCAACTTTCTATGCTCAAATTTAAGTTGTTTGAAAAAGCACGAGTGATAAGGCATTTTCCAAACAAATCTTTCACAAAAGAAGACTTCGTCAAAGAAGCTTTTCCTCTAATAGGATCCCTTTGCACAAGTCCTCCAATCACTTTTCTTTTTATTGGAATAATAACTAAGCTTGGAAACCAGAAGACTCCTGCTATAGGTCTGATTTTGGCTGAATCATATGTTTGCTAGGAATAACCGATGGAGGTCCTCAATCCTTATTTTTTTTGTCAAACCCTAGTTATTTACGTAGGATGACAGATTCACTGACTTTTCATACGACCAGCAAGAAAGTATCGAAAGCAAGTCGGACATAAAGATTGGGATCCCACGAATAGGCTATGGAATAAGAAATAATAACGTATAAAGGATTTTCATCCGAGACAGGCGCAGGTGGGAAAGCATTGAATGAAGTACTTAACGCGGAGTGATGGGTTGTGCCCGTGCAAGTGCCCATGAATTTGTGGGTCATTGTTTTTTTTTCAAGTCACATTTATAAGTCACCACAGACGAATATATTTATGTTGAATTATTGATATCGCGAATATATCAGTTGAGGCAAATATTAATGATGAACTTTCTCTGAGTTAAAACAACCCAAAAATGGAAGAGATTCCCCAGCTAAAAATAGAATGATGTGGCCACGCGAGCTTTAACTAATCTCTAGGATTCGATCAGTTGATCAATTTTTTTTTTCAGTTCATAAATTAAAATATGTAAAACTTCATAATATATAGCTAAATGATAAATAGATATATCTCGATTTTCAACATCACGTGATTATGGCACATTAATCTTTAATGATAACTTCACAGTTGTGGCAATTCATTTGGACGTTGGTGAATTTCCAGTTTATGAATTGTGTGTCAGCTATTCTGAATAAAAAATACATGTATAGGTCAATAACTTGAACTTAATCATTTCATAAGGTTTGTAAAATATTCTACGGGCATCCGAAGAAGTCCTTTCTTCTCTCAAAGTCAGACGTTTTTGTCTCGCCTACCAGTAAAATGCAAGCATGGACTTTCTCAGTCCTCCTGATTTCTTCCTTTATTAGCCAATGAAAGAAGGGTTATTTAATATGTATATATTCCCCTGAGGAGCGAACTACCGGTCTGTATGTCCTCGTACTGCTCCCTGCGTATGCCTCTGTCCACCATTCTTATAGCCAAAACAAGAATTTGACAAATATTTCTATTCGTTACAAAATTGATACAATAAGTGATGTAAGGAACTTTATTGGGTATTGAATATAACCTACATATTCAAATATCTATACTTAGTAATCTATATTTAAATGTATAAGCAAGTGAAATTGCCACCGCTAAATCTAAATTTCACTTGTTTAATCTATTTAGTTAATACAACAAATAGAAGATAAATATAATTGTTTAAGGAAAATGTTGATCATTTAGACAATACCAAATAGGTTTTGGTTATTTTATTGGAAGGGAATTGATAATGACATGGGTGGTCCTTGAACTTTTATTAAATGTTTAACTTAGCCGTCGAGCAATCTTTTATTTAATATTGCTTTGAACTTTCGAAAATCCAATCAATATATAAAAATTTTAACACCGTTAATCGGCGCACCATAATTTCTGTTAACATGATGTTAGATTTGCTATGCTGACATCCATGTGTCTTTCATGCAACACACACACACACACACACACCTCATTATTTTGGCCCAAAAAGAAAAGATCACTACATCGAGTTGATTTTTGAAACTTCAGAGACTCGATTGAAGAAAAAAAGTTCGGAGACCACATTAAATATTGAAAAAAAAATTCAAGAACCACCCGTATAATTAGCCCTTATTACAATACCATCCAAATTTTTTTTTTTCGGTTATTTCTTGGAGTCAACTCTACTTGTACGTTGCTTCTCTCTCCAAGTGGTGTTCTTTCTTTGAGCTGCTAAGTAGCCATTTGCAAATACATATCTAGTTTTGAGGCAAAACATGTTTAACTCAAGAGAGTTAACTTTTCAGGCATGGGGTGAAACAACCAAGAAATCCATGGTCAGATGGACCTGAATACATTACTCAATGTCCGATCAAACCACAGACAAATTTCACATATGAAATTAATTTCACCGATGAGGAAGGAACTCTTTGGTGGCATGCTCACAGTGATTGGACGAGAGCTACAGTTCATGGTGCGATAGTCATCCTGCCAAGTGAAGGGTCGAGCTTCCCTTTCCCCAAGCCAGATGAAGAAGATATCATCGTGCTCAGTATGTACTTCAGAAATTTATTTTTGTTAATTAAGATACTAACTATACTCCCCATATCCTTACCAAAAAAAAAACTATACTCCCCATATTATTCTCTAAAAGCCTGACTTTTTGAACAATTTGTACCCTACACGCCAACTTCAAAAGCATTGAACTTGAGATGGTGATCTCACTACCAATAGAAATGGCAGTAGGTGAATGAAACTATGGGAAACTAGATATAGAGAAAAAGAAAACAATATAAAATGTTGAGTTAGCGGTACTGGTTTGTTAAATATGTGGAAGTGGGTTGTTGGTTTCTTTGTCTTTTTATTCCTTTTCGAAGTTTCCTGCGTTGACCGGAAAGAAAGTCGGAGACATTGAATAGTCAAATTTTATTTTCCAGAATGAAGTACAAGTTTGAAAAGAGCAAATGTGGTTTAGTGTGACAGAAATTTATCAATTTCCAAAGGAAAGCTAGGGTTTACAGTTTTGTAAGGCTTCGGAGTCTCATTAAGGTATGTAAAATAAAAAAGTAAGGCAATGATCAAGCGCTGAAAGAGAATGGGAGGTTCTTCCTGTAATTATTTCTAGTTTGGATCATAGCATTCTTACACCACATAGAAGGGGGAATTATTCTATACGGTAAACATGATCATGTAACATGCTTTTTGAAAATTATGTTTCTCCAGTATTTTGTTGCCTTAATTGAGAAAAGCAGGTAATAATTGATAATTTCTAGAAAACGGTGATTTTTTTTGTCGGAGTGAAGTGGTAATTAAAAAAACGAATAGGCATTGGTAACTAAATCAAATAAGCATTGGTAATGCAAAACTAGTTGGTAACTTTTTTTTTTGTTGGTCATTAGTTGGCAACTTAATCAGGCAAAAATTAATAATTGTTCTAAGTGAGGTTGGCGAGTGGTAAAAAGAGTTGGTAAATCTAAAAGTTGACTAGCAAGTCAAATATAAATGGTATATCAGGAGGAAATTTGAAATTTTTTTTATAAAAAGAAGACAAATAAACGCCGGTAATCAACTCAAGTGAGTTGATTTCTTGATTGGAGAAAAGTTGGTAAGTCAATCAAATAATTGGGTGGTATAATAATTGGTAAATTTGTGGCATTAATAAGAAAAGTAAATAAAAGTTTGTAAAAGATAAGATAATTCTTTTTTGTCAAAGATAAAAGAAGTTGGTAATTTGAAAAAACAAAATAATCGTCAGTCACTTACTCAAAGAAGAGTAACACAAAACTAGTAGGTAAGTTAATATGAGAATAGCTTGTAATCACTTTAATTAAGGTTGATAAATTCTAAAAAAGGATGGGTATGTAAGGCAAATAAAAGTTTGTAACTCGATATGAAATTTGGTAAATTTAAACAAACAAATATAGCTGGTTAGTAACTCAAATGAGTGTTGGTAAACCACAATTAATTGGTAACCTAATGGTTAAAAAACTTGTAAGTTACAAGATTTAATATTGGTATATTCATTTAAGAGTTCGCAAATTTAAGCCAATTGCAAAGACCAATATAAGTGGTAAACGATAACAATAGTTAATATAAAAAAATTGGTTAAACATTGGTAAGTAATTCAAATGAGAGTTGGCAACAAAAAAATAGTTGATAGTTTTAATGGGAAAAAAGTTAGTAAGTCACTCAAATAGAAATTGGTAAATACATATAAGAGATAATAAAATTTAAGGTGTTGGTAAGAAAGATTATTAAAAGTTGGTAAAAGATAAGAAAAGTTGGTAATTTGCAAATTGTCAAAAGAGTGAGCTTTCATAAAAGTGTTGGTAAGTTATCAACAAGTTACCGAGAAATCGAGCAACTATTAATTTTCTACCCATAATTTTTTGATACATACCAACTCTTTCAAAAATCTTCCACTACAGAAAAAATCCATTTTTTCGAGGCCCGAAATAGTAGAATCATCCTACATATGAACTGGTGGAATTCTTCACGATCAAGAGGAGGTATCAAAATTTCAATCAGGGGTAGGACCGCTTGTTGTGCGAAACTTTTCAAGGACTAGCATCGTTACCGAAACTAACCACGTGAAACGCACCTATTCAGATTTGGATTTACTCTATGCTTTCATTGCTTATTGGGATCGTTCATTGAAGCTTCCACACTAGTGGTAACGCATTTGTTTTAACTCAAACGAGGACCATATGGACCATTTTCAAGTGAGATTCGACTAATTACAAATGGGTTAAATTACATTTTAGTTGCATTACTTAAGCCATCAATCTTTGTGATGGTTTGTAGGTTCTTGGTACGACGAAGAAAGACTTAACGAAGTATTGAATGAGGATTTAGCGGCAGGCAGCGATGTACCACGAGCAACTGGCTATATGATTAATGGACAGTTTGGAGATTTCGTTCCATGCTCCAAAGGTATATTTCTGGTTCATTCATTGATAGTAACAAATTTTCATATCGCTATTTCTGGTAACTTCAATAGTATGTAGTGATACAATCTTGATTGAGAGAGTATTGGTTTCATAGAAACAACATACCATTTGTTCGTCGAGTACGGCAAGACCTATCTCCTTCGAATAGTGAATGCAGCAGTCAGCGCAGAGCACTTTTTCTCCATTGCCAAGCACAACATGACGGTGGTTGGAATGGACGGAGCATACACAAAGCCAGCAGTTACTTCGTACATAACGATTGGTCCTGGACAAACAATGGACGTCTTGCTAACAACCAATCAGTCCCTTGGAAGATACTATATGGCCGCTCGGCGGTATTCAAGCGAAGACACAGAAGTCACGGCCTTTTCCCACATCAATGTTACTGCCATTCTCCAATACAAGGGAAACTACAGTCTCGCATCACCACCAATTTTCCCAAGCGACACCCTTCCAAGCTTTTATGACTATTTTGCGGCAGCAAATTTTTTAGCCCAACTTAAAAGTTTAGCAAATGAAGAGTATCCCATAAGTGTCCCTCAGAACATAAGTACAAGGATGTTCATAACAGCTTCCTTGAACGAGCTATTATGTGCAAACGATTCGTGTGCATCGGGTGATAGCAAAATCGCCACAAGTTTGAGTAACATAAGTTGGGTGAATCCTTCAATCGATGTGCTACTTGCCTACTACAGGTAAACTAAATTTCTTTATGATTGTTATTATATTCCAAATCAGGTGGTGGCAAGGGCCGTTTATTCTCAGATTTGCATCTAGAGATGAAATTATATTTTTAGTTTATACATCTCAAGAATTTCCATGTCCTAGATTAAGATGTTTTGTTTTGCTAACACTTGATTTACAGGTAGTTGTTTCATTCGAAAGAATATAAACTAAATAAAAGTAAAAAAATAACATCTCAGACATACATGTGCAGAAACATCAGTGGTGTATACACCCCAGACTTTCCTAATTTGCCTCCGAGTTGGTACAACTTTACGGGGGATGATTTACCGACCAGTCTTGCGGTGGCTGCTGAAGGGACCAAGGTGAAAGTTTTAAATTTCAACGAAACCGTGGAGATAATATTTCAAGGGACAAATTTGCTGAAAGGTTCAGAAACCCATCCTATGCATTTGCATGGACATAGTTTCTATGTCGTCGGATCTGGCTTCAAAAACTTCGACAACGAGACCGATCCTCAAGGATACAACCTGATTGACCCACCTAAAGTCAATACATTTGCGGTGCCCAAAAAGGGATGGATTACGATCAGATTCACGGCAAATAACCCAGGTATAAACACACCTTGTCATGCTCTTTCCCTGCGTCATTATCTAACAATTTAATATCCTTACCTATTGTAAACGGTGGAATTGATCGATGACAGGTGTATGGTATTGGCATTGCCATATAGATCGACATATGAGTTGGGGTATGAGCACGGCTTTCATAGTACTAAACGGCGATACTGAGGAGACAAGTATGAGACCGCCCCCTTCCTACATGCCTCCTTGCACGGATGCATCAAACGTTGCCCTGAAAGAAACCGCCAGTTTCTTCGCTGACAAAAACCAAATTTGAAAGCAGATTGTAGTAAATTATTTACGTGGCTATGGAAAGTCGTCAAGTTAGTCATTACCATGCAGTAAATCAAAGCCAACATGATTCCTTTTCGTGTTCTTTTAGCAAACAAAGAAATGATTCCCTTTCGTGTTCATGAGGGTCATTGAGCTTATCAGTTTGTGTAGTCATTACAAGAGTGAAATTATTTTTTATCTGCTATTAAGCTCGTGGTTAAGTGCGTTCATTTGTAATATCTTTGTGTTCCAAATTAGGTGAACAAACCAGCATATTGAGAAAACGTAAAGGAGGTAAATAGGGGATTTAAACCAGAGTAAACTTACATTTGTTTTACCAATTCACTTCCACATATCATCTGTTTGTAGAGGCATAGTAATATTTTAGTAATTTAACTAATTAATATTGTTGACACAAATTTTGGCTAACCATTTAGGATTAATTGCATAGAAAATTAGGGACTAATCTTTAGACCCTAAACAAAAATAATATGATTAAGTTACATAGCATACAATTTTTGAAGAATTCATCATATAGTTTAGTTCAATAATTGCATTTGCATTAGACAGGCAGTAGTAAATGAGCCCGAATTAATCACATTGACTTGGCCGGCACTGAAGTAGAATTCGGCCAGCATAGGTAGAGGTGGCCACGGGCCGGTTTTGACCCGGAACCGGACCGGAACCGGCCTGGTCAAACCTGGGCCCGGCCCGTTGACCGGGCCCGCGGTTCGGAACCAGAACCGGCCCGTGGCATACGGTCCTGGTTCCGGTTCCAGAAAAATTTGAACCGGCTCGGAACCGCCGGTTCCGGGCCGGTTCTGCGAAAAAAAAAATTTTAAAAAAAAAAAAAAGCCGCAGGCTACAGCACAGCCTGCAATGCAGGCCATGTTGCAGCGCTGCAGCAGCCTGCAGGAGAACGGGCCAACGGCCCAACCAAAAAAAAAAAAAAAATATTTATCCGCAGCACCTTGCGGCCCGTTGGGGCAACGGCTACGCCCCAACGGGCGTTTTTATAATAAAAAAAAAACACATAACCGTTGCAATTTTGCAATGGTTATGTTTTATTTTTTTTAATTCTAAATTTTCTTCTATTTTTTTCCTATAAATTCTCTCAAATTCTCACAATACACACACAATTCTCTCCAATTCTCTTCTCTCAAGTCTCAAATTTTCTCAATACTCGAAATTCTCTCAAATTCTCTGAAATTCTCTCAATTTTCTCAATCCACGCAATTCTTTCTTAATTCTCCCAATTAATCCGCTCAATTCTCTCAATCCATTCTAAAAATGGCAAGTGGAAGTCGAGTGCCAACTGGCAAAGGTAAGAATAT